CATGAACTCCTGGGTGGCGAAAAGGGTGCTGGCGGTGCCTGTGGCGGCACCGCCAGGCCAGTGGATTGGAGCCGGGGGCTCCATGATCATGGAAGCTGACAAACACACGGGGACTGTGCGGAAGCACTACATAGGGTTGGCCACCATGCTTGATCTATTGGCTCATATTGCTGGGAATGAAGATCAGTTGATGGATGAAGGAGTTCATGATGGGTTTGATCTTGATCAGAAGATGTCGGTGCCGGTGTCTTCGATCATAGGGCACTGCCTTGAGGGTTTAAGCTTGTGGACTCTAAACCCCAACACAAGGTGGACTAATTTCTTTCTAAGCTCTAATAATGTAATTAGTATGACATATGATCGATATAGGTAGGAGGTCATTAGATTAATAAAATAATTATATTGTATTAATTAAATGGACTTATTTTAATGTTTACTTGTTTTAAGTCCCAACTTCAGCATCCTAGACTGTATGGAAGTGTTTAGCAAAGGAATACACCGTGCTTTGGTACCCGTAGACAGCCACATGGACAACGTCTCTGGAGTTGAACTTGTAGAGTCTGCTTCCAGCTACCGAATGCTCACCCAGATGGATGTGTTGAGGTTTGTGAAGGAACATGGCAGCTCCGGATCAGAACTCGACAACATCATGTCGAGCACGGTATCGGATTTGGGAGCTGTCACGGAGAGAGTTTTTGCCATTACTGACCGCACAAAGGTCATTGATGCCATCAAGTGCATGCGGATAGCTTTGCTAAACGCGGTTCCGATTGTAAGGTCCTCGGATACGGACAATGAAGAAGATCACAAGCAGCTTGTAAATGTATGTCTCTTTGAGCCTTAAAAACACCTTCTTCCGGTATGGAATTGGATATGAACTATCATAAATGTATGTCCTTTGACTGCAGGGCAAAGGAAGGCAAGCTATAGGGACATTTTCGGCAACAGATTTGAGGGGCTGCCACTTCGCGACGCTGCAAACATGGTTGCCGATGAGTGCTCTGGATTACACCGAGACGGTTTTGGCAAACCCTCTAATGGCAGCATTCAATAATGCAGCAGGAAGTCCAACAACAAGGGAGCTGGTGGCATGCCGAGCTGATTCATCCTTAGGTGAAGTGATTGGCAAGGTGGTCTCCAAACATGTGCACCGACTTTGGGTTGTGGATCAACAAGGTTTGCTCAAGGGGCTCATTTCCCTCACAGACATAATTAGAGTGTTGAGGCTTGCAATACTGTCTGAACAAAACGCCTAATAACCATCTGAGAGGGAGGGAGGGGTTAGATTTTGTGTAATATTTTCCAGTTTTTGTATAAATGTTGTGTTTCTTTCGCATGGATGCTACTTGCTATTGCTATATAATATATACACACTATCATATCAGAAGTTTTTTAAAACAAAAAAATTACAAGTATGCAGAGGAATTCCTTTTTCGGGATCTCCTCATCTTTTCCTTCTTGGCTCATCAAATTTTCTTAAGTTACATTTTTTTTTCTTCATATTTTATAAAAGTCTTAACAATTGGAGGAATCGGTGGTCCATTCGGAATCAAAGGAACAATTTCATCGGGTGAAAGAGTTATGGCTTTGTTCACGATGAGCCAAATGCTACTCTTCTTTGATTATCTTTACAGTATTTTTTTGGATAACTCTTCATGGGCTTTGATCTTCCATTTATTGAGTCATTCTACAGGGCCTTACATATAGCCCTTAGGTGAGGTCGTATAAAATTCTTGTCCCTTTATTATGCGTTGGCATATTTCGCTCACCATTCCATATACATGTTGGATAGTTGGGCTCTTTTTGAGAATTAAAACAACAAATTGGCTGTTTCTAGTCATTAAAATGAATTTGATTCTTGAATCACCTATCAAAGACACTTCGTAGGTTTACTAGAATAATTACTTGATCATAATTTCAGGAAACATTATAGTAAATAAGTCTAAAGAAAATAAAACACACAAAACTCATTTCCTCAATGTGGGTGGGACCCCACCACCACTTTCCCTATCTTTTTTTATCATTTGTTTTAATAATTAAACCTAAAATTTAGAACACATAAAAAAATTGAAAAAAATATATTTGTTTTAATAAACAGATTTTCGTAGCCAGATTGACTATTATTATACTGATTATGACCATATTAGTGTGAGAATTACTTCCTTTTTAGGGGTTACCGGGAGGGCCAAAGCCCAGAAAGCCAGAAAACTACACTGGGACGAGCCTAAGCCTAACAGTGGTTATCTTAGCCAAACTTGCGTATGGTAAGAGTCACATTCCACTTCAATTCTTCGAATACCTTCATTCTGTTGCTAAACCAAACTTGCAAGAATCTCTTTTGTTGTTCAACATTTTAAGAGTCTCAGAGCTAATAAAAAGCATAGGAAAGTAGTGTGGATGATTGATTTATAACCATATATAGATGCACGAAAGGGGTCTCATAAAACAATGAAGAAAAATTAAGTAAAGAAAATGATTGGCCATCCACTTCCACTAATGCACATACGCAACTGAAGTGACTGGTAGTAGTACCCACAAGTCACATGTCACAAGCAACAACGTGTGAGCGTCATGTGTCCTTTTCATACCACATAGTACACATTTACTTTTTAAATGTAGACAAGTTTAAGGAGAGATTGGCTATTCTCGACAGAAAACTTACGCGTGATGTTCAACTATCAACTACACATAGTACACCCTTAGATCTCACTCTCTCAACTCTCTACTCTCAACTTCCAGCAACCTTCAACCCACAACTTTTTTCTACCACAAAAAAAAAATAAAAAACCGACAACTTTTCTTCTTCTGTTATTTATTTATTGTTTTTAAATATTTTTTTTATATAAGCGCTATTTTATTTTAATATAATTTAAACTAAATTATGATATCACCATACCCACGCCCCCGCAATCTCGCCGCATCAAAAAAGCGCCTCTATCTTCCAATCCAATCCCCACATTACTCCAGTTGCACCCCAAAATGAACGGCGCCGTTTCAGCCCTCAAGCCTCGGCACAAAAGGGCCTCAAACGGCAAGCCCCTTAACGTCGTTCCCACAAACCACAGCTCGGAGGTCCTCCAAGTGCAGGACCTGATCATGTCGTCTTCTTCTTCTTTTTTCTCCAAGAAGCTCCGTCTCTACGGCGGCAAGGCCTCCTTCATGACCTGGAGGCTGCATGATGTCCTACACGTGGCCAAGCACCATTGGATACCCTGCGTCTTCGCAATGGGCCTCCTCTTCTTCATGGGCGTCGAGTACACGCTCCGAATGGTGCCCTCGTCGTCTCCACCCTTCGATGTCGGCTTCGTCACCACGCGCTCCCTCCACCTCCTCTTGGCCTCCAAGCCCAAGCTTAACACCTTGCTCGCTGGTCTTAACACGGTACTAATTTAATTCTAATTGCGTTCTAATTATCTTTTTAAGAAAAAAATGATTATAAATTTTTAAATTAATTCCTTACATTGACATTGTTTTTGTATTTTTCTCCCCCTTTCTTGTTCTGGGTTTGTTTTGTCTTGTTATGTTTAGAGTTGTATGGAGAGGTTTCGTGGTGATTTGTGAATTTAACTATTTTGGCACTTCTGGGCAAATGGGTTTTTGTCATTTTAGAAGGAACCATCACATTTCTGACAGAGGCTGCATTTACTTTTCTTTGTTCTCTGGTCAATGGCTGCAGATTTAAATTTATGTATGGGGTTTGCTATGTTGCCTTCTGTTTCTACACTGTGAATTTGGACCACAGATGGAAGCAAAAATCAACTTCATCAATGACCCAGGTCCAAAATTCAGAGTCTGAAAAGAACATTTCTGTAAATGTTTTTTCTTTTTTTCTTAAGGCATTGTGATTAATTTTTACTGCATTTTCATTTGAAAACTGTGAGCTACATAGATTTCAAAGACTTTGGTTCTCTTTACAATTTTGGGTTCAAAGACATTGGATTTGCTATGCAATTATTGCAAAACTGATGACATTTTGCTGTCCTGTTTTGTGTTTAATTAATCTCTTGTGCTCTAGGTGTTTGTGGGAATGCAGACAACGTATATAGTATGGACATGGCTAGTAGAGGGCCGCCCAAGAGCCACAATCTCAGCCCTCTTCATGTTCACATGCCGGGGCATTCTCGGCTACTCTACCCAACTTCCATTGCCTCAGGTAAACCCCCATCAATATGCATCTACATATCCCACATTGGCTACTTACTTACCAATCTCACATTTTGGGCATTGTGTTTCAAATTTTGTATTGGCAACTTGGCAGGGATTTTTGGGGTCCGGCGCAGACTTCCCGGTTGGCAATGTGTCGTTTTTTCTCTTCTTCTCAGGGCATGTAGCAGGGTCTGTGATTGCATCTTTGGACATGAGGAGAATGCATAGGTGGGAAATGGCACGGACATTTGATGCACTGAATGTGCTACAAGCACTGAGGTTACTGGGGACAAGGGGCCACTACACAATAGACTTGGCTGTGGGGGTTGGGGCTGGTTTTCTCTTTGATTCTCTGGCAGGCAAGTATGAAGAAAGCAAGAGATCAAAAGCACCTACAACAACTGGTACCAAAGAGGCTTTCTTTCTGTGAACAGATGGACTGTTGGCAGGTAGTTTGGAGTAGGAATATGGGTATGTTATTGGTGCATATTTATTTATTTATGAAACGTCGAAAGGTCAAGTCTAATTAAGAAAAGAAAACAAAGTAGGCGTATTGGATTGTATAGAGACAGAGAGAGCTCAATGTACTGGGGCCCTTTTGATGTATTTTGCTTCTTTTTTTGTTCTTTAAAATATCCCATTCTTCATTTTTTTTAAATTTCCTTTCTACTCTTCTGCCCAAGTTCTTCAGGGTGTGTTTGGAAGTAGCTTTGGCAGTGTTAGAAGTGTTTATCGTAGAGGAAGGAAAGTACCCGAAAGTGCTTTATAGGGTCTCAGTGTGCTATGCGTAGTGCTTTCTAGTTAATACAAAATGTTTCGGGGGGATATTTTCGTGTTTCTAATAAAATTGCTATATGTAACTCCCAAATATTGTTTCCTTTTTGTCTTTTTGAAATCCAATGACTACGCTCACAATTTGTTTTTTAAGGGTCTTTTTTTTTTAGAAGGGCGATAACATATTAAACTCACACACACACTATACATATACTAAAACTCGAATCCAGGGTCTTTTCCGAACAGGCATTTGCTCCAAACCACTATGGTCGCATTTTAAACACGTCACATTTTTAAAGAGATCGACTGGTCAAAAACTTTGTACGACTAGAAAGAAAAAGAGAGTTTTGAGCGTAACAATGTGACAGATTTAAGAAGGGATAGTGGGGTTAGGCTCCTTCCCATTTCCAATCTCTGTTGTGGAAAAACTTTCATATTTTTATATTTTTTGGCCAATCAATAGGCAGCTATATAGTCGGTGAGTCTTTTCCCCTATAATGGTGGTTTTAAAAGTTGTAAGCTTATAGCACTTTAGCTTCCCAACTCGCATTTTGGAACCAAAAAGAAAAGAGATGGCATGCATCACAACATTCACATGCGCAATTCCTTGCCGTAAGTAATTAAAGTTCATGTATTTTGGTAATTCGAAAAGAACTTCCATCTTCAAGACTCCATCATGACAACCAAAATTTCAATTCACATGTTTAAATGTGATTTTTTTAATTTATAATATCTCCTGCTTCTAAACATAGCATTTTCCATGTGATTTTCATGCCCCTTCTTTTTAGTTTAAAGTCAAACCAAAGTGTTGTTCTTTATCTTACTAAAGGGGTTGAATGATGGGCAAAAGTCTAAAATTGATATATCCAACTAGTATACATTTTCATTTCTTTAGGAAATCAGCAGCGAGACAATGCTGACTTGAATAGCATGGTATGGATGACATTGCACCTATGGCTTGTGTGAAAATCTCAGTATAGTTTCCACCATACCTCAAGACAGAGACCTTTTCTACACCGTATATATGTATAATACACACACTGACGTATTTACGAGCTAGAAAGGGAGGTACTACTTGCACAATACTAATCAGAGTCGGAATCTAGCTCAATTGGGCATGTTCCATCATCTACATTGGCAAGCGGGTCATAAGAGGATGAACTAGTATCTGTGCATCCCGGTACGAGATTAAGGTTGCAATGATCGCCCAGCAATGGCATGACACTAGTTATTTTAGAAATAGCTTCTCTTATCTTTTGGTCAAAGTGGACTTTCATTCATAAGAAAGGGTTACAAATAAAGCTCACCATAGCAAAGATCCAACAGGCCCAAAACAAACTAAACCCTAGCAACTAAAACAAAACAAGAAAATGCAGCCGCCATGACCATCCTTGCAACAGAAGAAGCAGCAAGTAGACAACTACAAACAATGGCCAAAACAAAATTTAGAAAATAATTTTAACAATTGGACTACAGGGATAAATAAACCAATGAAGTTGTGAATATGAACAATTTGATTACTCCATCAACTGTCAAATTCCCAATCATAGTGCATCTTGTTGCGACAACGCTAGTATCAGGAAATATTGCTATTTCACATACTTCGTCTTTAATCAACTCTTCTGTTAATTCCTGTCATAAATTCATCATCCAGTTACTTTCAGGACGCAGTAAACTGATTGAATTTTGTCCATTACAGGTGTGTTTACCTCAGAGAAAAAAGATGCGGGACCAGGCACGCTGAATAGTGTTATAGCCTCTCTTCTTGTTGGATCAAGTTAGCACACGAGTTTGCTTGAGGCCCAAGTAATAGGCCCTGAAATGATCTAGCTTGCGATAGGCGTGCCATTGTTGAAACTTGGATTAGCCCAACAGAAAGATATTAGTTGCTTAATGATGTATTCTTAGTGATATAAATCAGACTTCTAATCAAGCCATTGTGCACTGAATGGGGATATTGTTCGAATTAGTTCTTTTCTGTGCCTTGTATGAACAAAGGACTTTCAAATTCTACTTATGTGCATTGGTACGGTTCATATCCTAAAGGATTAGCCCTTGATCGGGCTAGAAATGCTTATTTTGGGTTGGAAAATTCATGATTGAACTGGATATTGGCAGATCGGGCTGGAAAATCCTTAGCCAATTTCTGGCTTTTTCTAGTCTGATGTAAAAGAAAACAAGTGTAAAATGCTAAACGAGTGCTTTTAAACTTAAAATTCAATCGAAAGGCATGATTTGGAATTGAATATTTCTTTATTCAATTCATTATGAATGCAAAATGAAAGTAAAGTACATTCAATTTGAACTGAAGATTTCTCGATTCAGTACATTGCAATTACAAACTTTAAACGGAAAGAGAGTAAGTAAATCTAATAAATTGAAATACTAATGCTGAAAGTAAACAAAGCCTAGCAACTAGGAATCAATACCAAGTGTTGGTAGAGCAATAAACTGAAAAGATAACTATCAGGAGTTATCAACTAGTTATCTTGGTGCAAGAGAGATTTGTTGAGTTCAACATGATCAAGGATTGATCGAGTTTGAAGTTTTTCTTCTGAGAAGAAAACTGGAGTTGATTGTGTGTCCTGCAAGCTTTGGGATATGCTTCTATTTAAAAGCTCCTTGGCTATTGAAATTGTACGTTTGATGAAGAGGTGGCTCAGTTTGTATAGATGTAATCAAGTTCAGTAATTACAGTTCAAGGAAAACGGGAAAATATAAAGCCATAAGATTATTTAGTTTAATTAGAATTTAAACAGGCAAAGTAATGGCATAGAAGTTCAATTTTAGGAATAACTGGAAAATTACCCAGTCTAGAAAATAGAATTAATTAATTTTAAATTGGGCAATATAACACTTTAGAAAGAGAAATATGAAATTAAAATAAATAAATAAAAGCATAATTCTTTTTTTGTCCCAAGACTATGACATAGTTTCGACGGAAAAAAAAAGACTCAGGCATTCCAAATTGTACCTTCTCTATTTCCTTTTTGTGTAACATTTTGTAGCTTTTGTGTAAATGTGTGCGTATTTTTTGCATGGATGCTACTTGCTACATATGTGAAACACAGTTGAGCATGTTGAAGAGGAGTTTTGCACAAGATACCCAACTAGTTACAGGTACGGGTACAGGTTCACGAGTATCCAGTCGGCGTCGCCTACGGGTATCCGTCGTCCGACAAAGGAAAAACAAGAGCAGAGTAAAGAAAAGAAGAAACCAGAGAAAAGCAAGGAATAAAGTGGCAGTTGTGCATCCACTCCAGAGTCTGACCATGAGAGTAAGAGAAAAAGCCTCTCAGTTGCCTCTCCAAATGAACGGCGCCGTTTCTTTCAGCCCTCAAGCCTCGGCACAAAAGCAGCAGGACCTGATCATGTCGTCTTCTTCTTCTTCCTCCAAGAAGCTCCATGTCTACGGCGGCAAGGCCTCCTTCATGACCTGGAGGCTGCATGACGTCCTCTACGCGGCCAAGCACCATTGGATACCCTGTGTCTTCGCAATGGGCTTCCTCTTCTTCGGAAGCGTCGAGTTCACGCTCGGAATGGTTCCCTCGTCGTCTCTGCCCTTCGATGTCGGCTTCGTCACCACGCGCTCCCTCCACCTCCTCCTGGCTTCCAAGCCCAAGCTCAATACATTTCTCGCTGGTCTTAACTCAGTACTAATTCTAATTATCTTTATATTTTGTCTTGTAATGTAGAGTTATAACTTGTAATCTTATATGGTGAGGTTTTGTTGTGATTTGTGAATTTAATTATTTTGTCATATTTAGAAAGAACAACCATCACATTTCTCTTCTGACAGAGGCTGCATTTGCATTTGGAAACTGTGAGCTACCTAGATTTCAGAGACTTTGATTCTCTTTACAATTTTGGGTTGTAAGACACAGGATTTGCTATGCAAATTAATACTGCGAAGTTGAATGACATTTTGCTACTCTAGGTGTTTGTGGGAATGCACATAACATATATTCTATGGACATGGCTAGCAGAGGGCCGCCCAAGAGCCACAATCTCAGCGCTCTTCATGTCCACATGCCGGGGCATCCTCGGCAGCTCTACCCAACTTCCATTGCCTCAGGTAAAATCCCCATCAATATTCATCTACATATCACACACACATTTGTTACTCACGTACTGACCAATCTCACATTTTGGGCATTATGTTTCAAATTTTGTGTTGGAAGGGATTTTTGGGGTCCGGCGCAGACTTCCCAGTTGGCAATGTGTCGTTTTTTCTTTTCTTCTCAGGGCATGTAGCAGGGTGTGTGATTGCATCTTTGGACATGAGGAGAATGCAGAGATGGGAAATGGCATGGACATTTGATGCACTGAATGTGCTACAAGCACTGAGGTTGCTGGGAACAAGGGGCCACTAAACAATAGACTAGGCAAGTATGAAGAAAGCAAGAGATCAAAAGCACCTACACCAAATGGTACCAAAGAGGCTTTCTTTCTGTAAACACATGGAAACGTCAAATCTGTTGACGAGTCCTTATTTAATTAGGATTTTGGTTCCTTACTATGTTAGGATTTTGGTCACTCACTTATTTGTCTAGTCCTATTATAATTGAGATTGCTTTTTAGTAAATATAAAAATAAAAAGTTTTGGGGTTTTCATGATATTATTTTGTGTTTCTAATAAAATTGGTACCAACAAAGTGCTATCAGTAACTCCGAAAAAATTTTGACAAAAAAAAAAACTCTGAAATATTTTTTTGAAATCCAATGATAGCGCTCACATTTTAGTATAAGAAGGGTGAAATGACCCCTCCATTATATGGCTAACTAATCCATTGACAAAAAAAACATAAACAATTATTATATAAACTCTTGTACAGCAAAGATTAGAAATGGGGAGAAGCCTAATCTCATTATCCTTTCTTAAAT